AGGGTAGCCCAGAAGCCTGACTATAATATTATTAATGCCTACACCCACCTCGACCTCGACTCAGAGCTATAGGCTCAGGCCAGCTACCCCACAGGTACTACGAGTTGCCCAGTGTAATATGGGGAAGAGGAGCCCAGCCTATACAGCTCTCTTGGAGCTCTGCTGGGCAGATCAGATCGACATAGTCCTGATACAGGAACCCTAGGTAGGCTATAGAGATAAGATGCAGATTAACACACACCCAGGCTTTAACTCCTATATACCAGTTAACTTCTGGAACAGCAGAGACACAAGGCCTAGGGTTATGACCTACACACGTAAAGGTCTAAGGCTGCAGATACAGCAACAAAGACCTACCTAATCAAGAGATATCTTATAGGTGAAAGCTGGCGACCTCACTATTATGAATATATATAGGCCGCCAGATGAGCCTATAAACCAAGCAACCAGCCTCCTTTTAGATTATCAACCGCCAGAGAGAGCCCTTATCGCTGGGGACCTTAATGCCCGCCACTCCTCTTGGGAACCTGGGACCCCTAGCCGGAACCAGGGCGACGATATTGCAGAGTGGGCTGAAGTCTATGATCTGTCGTTTATTGGAGAAGTTAGGGCCCCTACCCATACTCATGGGCATACCCTCGACCTGACCTTCTCAAATATCCCCTTTGCTGAAGCTTATATTAGCCCACACCTACACCCAGGGGCTGACCACCAAGCTATTACAATAATTATCCCTATAGGCAAGGCCCAGGAACAGGTACGCCAGACTAGCCACCTCTCAGTCCCAGAGTCAGCCCTACCCCGATTTATCGACCTAGTAAAGGCTGGGGCTGCAGCCCTGCCTACCCCAGGGGAACACCTAAGCCCAGCGGAGCTGGACACTCTAGCTGCCCAACTGGTTAGTCTCTTCCACACAGCCGTTCAAGCTGTAGGTAAGAGACGGACTAACCAGGGCAGGGGAGCCCCCTGGTGGACAGAAGACTGCTCAGAAGCCCACCGAGCTGCTATTAAGGCTAGGCGCCAACAGGCCTAAGAACCAGGGCTAGTTATACCTCCCCCTGTCCTAGAGGAGCAGAAAGTCTTCCTGACAACCGTCAGAAGGGCAAAACGCGCCTACTGGATAGCTAAGATTGAAGAGGTTAAGACAGACCAAGACCTATATAAAATCTTAGGCTGGCGGAAGTCTAGCTTAGCAGTTAAAGCCCCACCTCTCATAGTAGAAGGACGGACGATCAGCAATAGCCTCGATAAGGCTCAGGCCTTTCGAAAGGCCTTATTAGAGCGATTTAGTGCTGCAGACGACTTACCTGGGAACCCCTTTGCTATTCCAGTAGTCGCAAGGCGTCTTATACCCTGGCAGGATACAGTTAGTATGGAGGAAGTACGCCAGGCTACTCTAACAGAGACTACAACCCCTGGGACTGATAGGATTACTACAAAGTTACTACAATGCACCTGGGGTTTAGTAGCTAGGCCTATACAGCAGCTCTTCCAGGCCTGCGTACAGGTAGGCTACTTCCCTAGACCCTTCCGCAAAGCAGAGGTTGTTATGATCCAGAAGCCGGGGAAAACAGACTTCTCTAAGACTGGGTCTTAGCGCCCGATATCCCTGTTATCCTGCTTAGGCAAAGGCTTAGAGCGGCTGATAGCAAAAAGGATGGCCTACCTTACTATCCTAGAAGGGGCTGCCAGCCCACAGCAGGTTGGAGCCCTACCAGGGAGGGCTGCAGTTGACCTCACAACCTGTCTAACCCATGAGATTGAGAGGGCTCTAGATACAGGGCTTACTGCGACGCTAGCAACAATGGACGTCAAGGGGGCGTTTGATTCCGTCTTACGAAACCGACTTATTGTCAGGCTACGACAGCAGGGCTGGCCTAGCAGCCTGATCAGACTGGTCTACACCTTCACCTCCAGCCGAACAGCCTGCGTCAGGCTAGAGGATACTACTACTGAGGACTTCCCTCTTTCCTGTGGACTACCGCAAGGCTCTCCGCTGTCACCTATCCTCTTCCTGCTCTATATAGCTGATATCCTAGCTGACGATCAGAAGCTACGGTTTGGCTATGCAGACGATATAGGCTTAGTAGCTACTAGCCCCTCGCTAGAAGAGAATGCTACAGCCCTAGGCCAGGAGATCACTAGTATCCTCAGCTGGGGAACGGAAAATAAAGTCGCCTTTGACCCAGCTAAGTGTGAGGCAATCCACTTCAGCAGAAAACATAAACAGACAACAGACCTACCAGATATCTAAGCGAGAGGCCTAACTATTAAGGCCTCAACTAAGCCTATAAGATAGCTAGGGGTCTGGTTTGATAGGAGACTCACCTTCCAACACCATGTAGCAATAAAGGTAGCAGCAGCAAAGAAGGTAGCCTATTTCCTACGGCACCTAACAAACACTAAAGGGGGGCTCCCAGCAGTTGCAGTTCGAAAAGCAGTTCTTGCTTGCGCCCTCCTAATAGCCCTATATGGAGCGGAGACCTGGTATGCAGGCCTGACCAGACCAGCCCTGAACAGCAGCACCAATACTAGCAGTAGCACTACTCTACAGATAGCTACAGTTGGCACAGGACAGAAGGGCCTAGCCTGTAGAGTTGGAAAAGTTATCACAGCAGCAGCAAGGGCTATCCTACCTGTCTGGAGGACCACACCAACTAGTGCCCTCATCCGAGATGCTGGCCTACCTACAGCAGAGGTAGCCCTTGAGGCAGCGCGACTACGCTTTGCTACACGCCTACAGAAGGTTGACCAACAACATCCCTTAGTCCCAAGGCTTCTGCAGCCAGGGCGGCAGCAGACCAGGCTCCAAAGAACAGCTGGCCTCTTACCCAAGTGTCCAAGGCCAGCACTCCTACAGCCGCAATACCTCCCAGGGTCCTATAACCCTATAGCCACAAAGACGAAGGAAATAGCAGCGAGGATCTTCCAGGCCTGGCTTAAGACTGTACCAGAGAAGCATACTATTATCTACTCAGACGGCTCTAAAGCCCCTAATGGCGCCACAGGGTTTGGCTTTGTTATATACCGTAAGAACAAGCGTATAGCCCAGGGCTGCGGCCGCCTCGGCTTAGCAGAAGTGTTTGATGGGGAGGCTGAGGGGGCGAGGGCAGGGCTCCGACGAGCCCTCCTTACCTCCCAGGGCCAGCCTATACACATCTGTATCGATAATACCAGCGTTATCCAGGGGATCCGAGGCAGGGTCCCAGACTCCTCACAAGCTGCCTTCCTTGAGATCCAAGAGGCAGCTAGGATGTATGACATACGAACCCATTGGTCCCCAGGGCACCAAGGCATCAAAGGGAACGAGGAAGCAGACAGCCTAGCCAAGGAGGGCACAACCCTGCCAGCCCCTAGGGGCCAACTAGCCACCCTGTCAGGGATCAAACGGCTAGCTAGAGAACGCATATGCCGCCAGTATAGAAAATGGTGGAAGCAAGAGGCAACACCCCGCTACACCCAACTAGGGCTTAAGGCTTCCCTCGCCTGCCCTCCTGAACTAGCCCTACCACGGGCTATACTCCATCATCTCCTAGCAGCCCGGTCAGGCCATGGAGACTTCGAACAATACCATCAACGCTTTAACCATACAGAAGCACTGCTTACCTGCTCCTGTGGGGAGGCAAAGGAGGTAGACCACCTAGTCTACTGCCGAAAGACCTTAGTGAGGAGGTTTCAGTGGCCCACCCTCCACCCTTCTAGTCCACAGGAGCCTATAGGACCAATAGGATCTCTTGATCGGTACTACAAGGGGCTAACCACTGATCATGAAGGCTTCTGGGCCTTTCTCTGCGTGACAGACTTCTTCCAGAAGATCTGCCCGCGGTACTAGGGCCTAGGCCTGAACCTGGGCCTTAGTAACAAACCCCCTCCTCGTAGAGGAACTGACGAGTATAATGGAACTAGGGAACCAGCGGGAACTAGGGACGGATAGAACACGTAGCAGCCTATAGGCAAGATTTGGAGGACGTTTGGAAGAGGCGTGTACTGTAGAGTATATAGCTTGAGCCTGCGGCCCTCCACGCCATATACCCCTCGGGAGGTCGGCCGCAAGGGCGGCTGCGCCTTTGCCGCCACGGCGTTAAATAGAACAACAACAACAACAACAACAACAACAACAAGGACTCAAGCTAGCCGTGGCTGATATGGGTGTGGCGCTGTGGCTGGTACCCTCAGTAGATGAACCAGGCCCCAGTGTCGCGGGCAAATCTTCGCTCAGTATTATCCTTAAGGCCTTGAGAGATGGATGCCAGAAAACATCAGGAAGTAAAAATTTAGACAAAAACTGTAGTAGTACCACGGCGTTCTATATCCTCACTCACTGTTCTCAAGTGTAGCCTCACGTTACGCCATGCGGGGACGGCGCAGCGGACGACGAGAGTGAGCGGGGCGCGATGATGACCGCATCGACACACAGGGCTGATGACCAGTTTTTTTCCGGGGAGATCTGGGGGAATTCCCCAGTTGCGTTATGCGAATGGAATACGAGCCGCGACGACCGGAACTTGGCAAACGTGGTCAGCCGAGGGTTGGTCGACTACATCACGCCACCCTCCAGGCCACTTTCCATCAGGCGACACTGCCATTATCATCGGGCGAGCGCAAGGACTCTACCATTAACATAAAATGGCCATCTTTCCCTCGGATTCGAAATCGACACTAAAGCAGCACCATCAACAATGACTTCAAGAAAGGCAGGCCAACAGCTATGGCGTATTCAGCCCACCGCAAGCGCTCTCATAAACCGAAGCATCACAAAGCCCGCGGCAGTCGGCAGACTTCTGTCGGCTGCGACGGCAGCACTTCTCCCGAAAGCCAGACTTACAACTCAATGCCGACAATCAAGTTTCTCCTCATTTCAACATCAAATTCGCCCATACTCAAGCCATTCTCCTGATAAAACGGAGCATCCGATCCCAAAATGGTCGCCCCCAGAAGACCCCGCATCTCGGCCTGTAGTGGTCCTGGGTGCTGGGGTCCTGGGCCGACGGCTCGCCGTGATGTGGGCCTCGACGGGCCGCCCGGTCATCATCTACGACGTCAGTTCGAAGGCATTGGCATCAGCAGCTGTTTATATTGGAGACGCATTGACTGCAGTTTGCGCTGTGCGCGAGACCCATCCCGGTCGCGTCTCTACGACCATAGTGCTTGAAGAGGCATGTACTGCCGACCCGTGGATGGCGATTGAAGCGCTACCAGAGGATCCCGAGATCAAACGCGAAATGCTCGGCAGGGTTGACGCATTGGTACCGGAAGACTGCATCATTGCCTCCAACAGCTCGACATGGCCCACTTCGGCGCTCAGAACTCTGATTGCCCGCCCTGAGCGTTTGCTCAACACTCATTACCATCTGCCTCCTCGCAATACTTACGTGGAGCTGATGACTTGCGGTGCTACTGATCAGCAACTCATGCCTTTCCTGGAAGAACAGATGCGAACCGTTGGCTTTACTCCGTTGGCTCTGCCCCACGAGTCGGTGGGCTTCGTTTTCAACCGCATTTGGTCTGCAGTAAAGACAGACACACTGAGGGTCCTGCAAGCTGAGCTTGCTTCCCCCAGAGACATAGATGCGCTTTTCCGAGATTTCTTTCATGCCGAGAAAGGACCTTGCGAGAAGATGGACGAGGTTGGATTAGACACAGTCTGGCAGGTAGAGAGGAACAGGGTGAACATGGGTGTGATTGATCCCAAAAAAGCGGGATATGCAGATTGGCTGGAAGAGAACTACGTCTCCAGGGGAAGACTGGGCGAAAAGACTGGAGATGGACTGTACACTGCCGAAGAAAGGAGGGTTTTGGCACAAAGGAGGGCATCAGCAAAGCGGTCTTACTTGAAGCTGCAGTAATGAAACCGAAGAGACAAAGTCTTAAAGCTCTCTTGAAGAATCAAAAGGCTCTACCTAGGCACCAGGTCAACCCTGAAGCTGCAAGGTGAGACCCATAAATTCTCTGTCAGGCGGCACACAGATGTGTCTCGCCATTTCTGATTGACATGCCCCTTATCTATGAGGTCCCTGGCATGTTTCACTTGAATCAGAACCCGTTCAGCTTCTTCCAACCATTTGCTCTGACGATACTGGTAGCTTCCGCGTGTCGCTCACCGATAGTCTGCCATGTCTAGACAGAGGAATAAGAGAAAGCAATCCGCCTCCCGCAAAAAGTAAGTTATCACTCCACTGAAAAGCCACGGCAGCCCCCGTCTGGATACTCCTCTTCCCCATTCTCACTTGAGTTTTGGCTGTTGTCTCTATCATTTGGTCGTCATTACTGAACTACCCCAGTAGCCACAAGCAACCCAAGCATCGAGCACCTGCAAACACTACGTTGTCCCATATGGACTCTTCGAAAGAGCTTGGCTTGGATGTCGAAGTTGCGCCATGGAGCTGCCTGGAGGCAGTTTTGAAGAACCATCCCACCGGAAAACCGATCATCTTGGATCCTGATGGTAACTTGATCCTCAGAGTTGGCGACCAGTGCGACAATGAATCCGAGTCTCAGGATTTCCTCGTGTGTTCCAGATCTCTGGCCCGTCCGTCACCCACTTTCCAGGACATTCTGTATGGCAACTTCGCCGAGTCCAAGCGAAACGACACTGAACCCTGGATTGTCGAGTTTCCCGAGGATGCGATTGCCCCTTTCTTCGTCTTGCTTTCTCTCGTGCACTCATCCTTTCGTTTTCTGCCCGAGAAATTGACTCGAGTTGAGATGCGCCACCTTCTGGTCACCGCGGACACATTAGATTTGTTGGAGGTCCTCAAGCCTTGGAACATCATCTGGTTTGCACCGTATCAGGACGACACAATTTCTTCCAAGGACTTCCCATTCTGGGTCGCATTGGAAGTCGATAACAGCTTCATGTTCAACCGCCTGAGCCGGGCCATCTTGCGTTCCTCCCGCGTCGACAGCGAGGGAGAACTGGTGGACTGTAACGGCACAAGGCTTTCGGCATACAAATATCTCGGTGTTACCGATGTTCTCAGTAAGTATTGTCCGGCGCATTCGACATTCTTTCTAACCTTTGCTCCAGATGAGATCACCCACTCTCGGAAGCAGATCGTCGACAAGGCACTCGTCATGGTCAGTAAATCTATTCGCCACATGAGTGCCGACGATCTTTTGGAAACCGTTTCGAAGATGGCGGAGGCAATGGCTGGGCTGCACGTCACTGGAAACCCTTATCAGCCCATCAAGCAGGCCGTGGAGGATATGGTTCAGGATATCGCCTCTCCCGCAACCGAACAGCTCGTGAAGTATCTTCGAGAGCAGAAACTCGAAAATGATCAGAAGTAGTCGTCTGAATCTTCTGAATTCTTTCATCAGTGTTTTCACAGGGTTTCCTGGGGAAAAGGTGGAAGGTAACGAGAACGCTGTTGGGTTGCAACCTAATTTGGGGTTTGTGCGTAAGGAAGTCGCTTTGGCTGTTCATGACTAGAAGGCCATATGTGATCATCTAGGCTATTAATGAGGAAGTACTTTTTTCCGATCTGCAGCGTGCTAAACTTTTTTGTAGAATTGTTTGCTGTGTTTTTGTGATGCTCACGATGGCACTCAGCCAGCCGCGACCGGCATCGTCAAGGCGTGGCTGCCGGGTGGCTGGTGAATGCTGTGTGGTCCATGCACTGGAGTGGGGATAGACACTGCAGTGTGAGTGTGGCGCATGCCCTGCACTTTTCGCTCCTGTGGTGCAATAATTTGTGCATAATCGAATCCATGGATGCTCCGCTGGAAAATCCCGTGGAAGGTTCTCCCAGACGCGATCTAACATGTGCGGTATTCATTTCGTCATCTCGCGTGATGACGCTCAATCGCTTCCCACAGAATTTCGTACTTGTCTCTGCAATCGCGGTCCGGACCATCTTGATGAAGTTCGCACCCAAGCAGTACCCTCTGGCACCGACGCGCAACCCCTGCATTTGACCTTCACATCAACGGTGCTGGCTTTGCGTGGTGACCATGTCACTAAGCAACCGTTTCGCGACGTGTCGTCGGGCTCGGTGCTCTGCTGGAACGGCGAGGCTTGGAAGATTCGGGGCAAGCCCGTTGAAGGCAACGATGGCGAGGCCGTCTTCGCCCTGTTGGTAGCGGCCAGTAGCCGTGCCGCGGGCGAAGATGCAGTGCTGGACGCGCTCCGCACGGTCGAAGGACCATTCGCGCTCGTCTACTACGACGCGTCGTCATCTCAACTCTACTTTGGTCGCGACCGTTTGGGAAGACGGTCATTGCTACTGAATCGGAAGGATGGGCTGAGGCTGTCTAGCATCGCGGAGAGCACGTCGCCGGAGTGGTCAGAGGTCGAGGCGGACGGCATCTACGTGGTTGACGTTGCGTCATTTGACATCGATCCGAATGTTCCCTTGACACCTCGGTCTTGGTCTGTTGAGCAGGAGGGTACGGTAAGTCGTGGATCGCCGCGGGATTGGTCTCGTTTTGCTACTTACGATGATAGGTCCTTAACATTGGCGTCTTCAACACTACAATACCGCCGTCAGACGTCCCGTCGCTCACTGCGACCTCTTCATCGGTCCAGACGCTGCGAGCACAGCTGACTGAATCGCTCAAGCTGCGCGTATGGAAGGTACCGGAGCCGCCAGCCCACGATGCAGGAAACGACACGCGAATCTCTGTACTCTTCTCAGGTGGCCTGGACTGTACAGTCCTGGCGCGCATGGCAAGTGACCTGCTGCCACCGGAGCAAGGCATCGACCTCATCAATGTCGCTTTCGAAAACCCCCGTCTCGCGTCAAAATCGGAGAACTCTGCCGCCGGCGTCAACCTCTACGAGGCGTGTCCCGACAGAATCACAGGCAGAAATTCTTTTGCTGAGCTGACTGCGGTCTGTCCGGACCGCCAGTGGAGGTTCATTGCTGTGAGTCCCCTCCGCATCACCTTGCGCCTTCAATCGCTAACCAGGAGCAGGTCGACGTTCCATACCAAGAAGTCATCACTCACCGGAGCCAAGTGATCTCCCTCATGTACCCACACAACACCGAGATGGATCTCTCTATTGCCTACGCACTGTACTTTGCCGCCCGGGGCATCGGCAAGTCCCAAAGTCACCCCTCCGACACCGCCGTCGACTACGCTACGCCAGCGAGAGTACTCCTCTCCGGCCTTGGAGCAGATGAGCTCTTCGGCGGCTACGTCCGACATGCCACGGCATTCTCGAGGAGAGGCTACCCGGGCCTGCTGGATGAGCTCAAGCTCGATGTCGGCCGCCTCGGCAAACGCAACCTGGGTCGCGACGACAGGGCCATGGCTCACTGGAGCCGCGAAGTGCGGTTCCCGTACCTAGATGAGGACTTCGTCAAGTGGGCGATCGAGTGTCCGGTGTGGCAAAAGTGCGACTACGGTCGCGGCGAGGTGGAGGGAGAGATCGAGCCTGGGAAGAGGGTTCTGAGGCTCCTGGCGGAGGCACTCGGCATGACTTCCGTTGCTCGGGAGAAGAAGAGAGCCGTAAGTCCCTTCCCAACGGAGAGTTGACAGGGTCTAGTAGGAGACTTACCATTCGCCAGATCCAATTCGGTTCAAGAACCGCCAAGATGGAAAGCGGAAAGACCAAGGGCACTACGCTCATCGCTCCTTGACGTGGTACTGGGTTGCAAGTGCATCTGAAAGCTGGCTGTGATGATCCACAGATACTTCCGAGCTGGTGGTCGCCGAAGTCATGCGTCCAGCGCTGTGCGTTTCTGCATCGCAGTAACCCTTCGCTGGACCGCGTGCACCTAGGCTTCACATACAAGGCCACCAGCAATGACGCCGTAAAGGCAAGTCTGAGCCAGTATGAGCCGATGTAGGCTCACCTTGCCTTGTATATACCACCATTCAATCGAAGCGGCTCTTCGCCAAGTACACCCAAGTTGTGCTCATGTGTATTACGGACAAATTGCACAATCTCCTCCATTTGGTCTTGGGCGCCATGCGTATCACGGAGACGGGAATATGAAGCAGCCGTAGGAGCATGCCCAAGACATTGCGTTATGGTATGGTTCAGAATCATGCAAGCCGTTTCTATTCCAATTCATAAACCCAGATACCAAGTGAAGAAGCATTCACGACGCCGGATACGCGCGACCTCGACCCTGCCAGCTTTCCATACCACCCATACCTAACATCGATGAGTTCACGCGCCTCGAACCCATCCATGGCATCAATCATCAAGTTTCAGACGATGCCAGTCTTCTTCGCTTGGTTCCTCATATACTCCAAATGCTGTTCCGTCACCGGAGAAGGAACTTGCTGTACCAACAATCGGATGTTTTCCCGCACGGCTGGCAAGGGATCGCAAGCCTTATGCTCCGAGGGAAGGTAGTGATCAATCGCGAGAAGTGGTCTATACTTTGTTTAAAGTGAGGTTTCGGTTCTTTCATCAACGCGAAGTCTTTCCCTAATATCTGATTGACTTCATGAACAAGTGAGCCGAAGACCAGGCCGCTACACATGAATGACAGTATAGCAGAAGTTGGCGGGTTCAACTGGATGACATTTCCACTATGTTTACACCGAGGGCAAACTGGGTTCCCGTCCTGTAATCTGAAGAGGTCTGCGCTGAAGGGAAATCGGCTGTCGCAGCTTGGACATGTACGGCTATCCGGTTTGCCCACGCATCTATGTCTTCTAAACGCAGCGTCCGTCGTGGCATAGATCCATGCTATTATCTTATCTATTATCTGTTGACGGGTTTTGGTAATGGCCTCTGAACTCCTAATTAGATGATGCGGTTTGAACTCAAAGTGTTTCGTCTCAACTAACCAATAATTCCGGACGGTTCTAGACAGCTATACGTGCTCAGAACGACTCCTTCTTGACTAATTAGCTCTCCGTCATCGTTGACGTAGGAGCTGAGACGCAAGTCTTTCGCAAGGAGACCAAAGGTGTTTTCACATCCAAGTTCCCATGAGATCCAAAGAAGTAGCTCGTTGCCCTTGATCTGCTTGATGTTCTTGTAAGGCGCATGCCAGGTAGTAGCCCATGGGCGTACTATCTTCGTCATGTCGTATTTCTCCGTCACAACCAGCGTTTGATACAGTTCGATTTGACTCAGTGATGTCGGCACATGCCCGAAGTAGCCGTGGATAATGCTCAGGACAAGGAACATGGCTGAGGGAAGGTCCTCGGGTAGGCTGACGCTCCAGGCAGCTTCAGTAGGCCTTGATTCCGCGAAGCCACCGTAGAGCATGGTGCGGAACACCGGTGACCACCGAGAGAGTGTTCGGGAGCAGACGACGAACTCGTAGGCGACCCCATCCTCACCGACACTAAGGGTCAGATCGCCAATCGGGTCGAAGTTGAAGGCCTTTCCGCACTCAATCGTCGAGGTGGCGGGCTTGAGGCACTCCCAGAAGGGCACGGGCTCGGGCTTGTTTTCCTTGGCCATGTCTGCACTCATGCCGTCATCATCAGACGTCGTTTCTTCTCTCGACATGTTTGCTGCTTCTCTGGAATGTTGTAGAATTAGTTCGAGGTCCGATATGAGGGAAGCGGGGAAGGCGAGGCGAGGGAGGAACTTTGATTCAAAATCGGTGGTGGTCCGTGAAGTGTTTGACGTGGGCGGGTCGCCGAATCGTGCTCGGTGCGGAATCGGCGGCCGGGAAGACCACCGTAAGTAAGCAAGGAGAACCAGAAATTTCTGCGCTGTTGAGGTTCAGCAATTCTACAGAAAAGTGGCATTTGGAATCCTTCGATAATTCCTAGACTTTGAAGGCTCTTCTGGTCGATGCGCATTTTCCAATGCAGGTTTGAAAACAGTAATAAAGCATGAACTTCACCAGCAAACGGGCGATCGCCGGAGAGGTGGGTCAAGGCATGCATCATGAACGCCTCACATACAACATCACGAGCAATGACGCCGTAAAGGCAAGTCTGAGCCAGCATAGTTGATCTCGTAGAGAGGTAAAATGGTATGTCAAGGGTCTATCATACAGTGTTCAAGAACAGCATTAGAAAGCAATGGATGAATATCGGAGTTCTTTTGTCTCGCCAGCCACAACACCTTTCATTTCTTCGATTGAAACATCACCGCTGAAGGGCAAACCAAAAGTCGCCTCAATGTCATCGGTATCGACAACCAGTCAAGATTTGGAATCGGACTGGTCAGAATGATTGATCTGTGTTTGGTCTCGGATATACATTATTCGGCTGTGTGTCCATAAAATTGGAACTCAGCGATCTCAATTCTGTCAGCGTCCCATATCGTCCTTGCTACCATCGTGACTCCAATTCCAATCCACCAAATAGACCGTACTGACACCGCACACCATGCCTTAGATGCCGGTCTTCTTCGCCTGGTTGTCCAGGTATAGGATGTGCGCCTCCGTGATGGGGGCAGAGACACAGTCCACCAGCTTCTGCATTTCGTCCTTCAGCGCTGGCAGAGGATTGCACTCCTTGTGCTCTTCAGGAAGATCGATGGTCATCGCCTGTATCTCCGCGGAAAGTTTGTTAACACTTAGTAGACATTCAGGCGTTGGTGTCTCCAGAAAGGCCACATCCTTTAGGCCGAGACCTGTGACGCGCTTGGAAAGAGAGCCGAAGACCAAATCCCCACAGAGTCTTTGTGACAGATGGAAACCCTTCGTCGTTCCCCGGTTGCATTTGCATTTGATGCACCATGTTGAATGAGCAATATCACCGTGACCGATGATGCACCCACAGGTATTGCATCGAACGGTTGGCTTCCCATTGCACGAGGGAGCTGTGTACAGTCTCTGGATCGTATTGTAGAGTAAGGTTGTGATATCACCTATCAGGACTTTTCTACCCTGTGCGATGCTCTCTGAAAAATGATAAGCTGAATGAAAAAGAAGTTGATTGGGTTGTGTTAAGGAGACATACCAAGAAGTCCAGGAGGCTGCAGGAATGGCGAATCGCTCAGACGACTCAAAGTGATTTCATCCGTCACAAGCTCGCCCTCGACATCGATCGGCTGCTGGAGCATTATGCCTCTCGCAAACCTACAAAAGGCTTCTTTGTGTCCAAGTTCCCAAGATGACCAGACCAGGGAAAATGAGGCTTGATTGTTGATAAGACTTCTTTCCTTATAGGGAGCGAACCAGCTCGAAGCCCAAGGGTACAGAATCTTGGTCATGTCGTACTTCTCTGTCACAACTAAAAGTTCGTGAAGTTGGTATTCCTTGAGCTCCCGGATCACATGATGGAAATGGCCGTGAATGATGCTCAAGACGAGTAAAATAGGAGAAGGGTCGTCATCGGGAAGTTGGACGTTCCAGGCGGAGCCATCTGCAGGCTTGGATTCAGCGAAGCCGCTGAACAGCATGGCCTTAAAGACGGGCGAACTGCGGCGGAGTGTGCGCGAACAGACGAGAAAGTGGTAGGCTGAACGATTTCCGCCAACTTTGAGAGTCAAATCGCCGTGAGTATCGAAGTGGTATGCCTTGCCAACCTTGAGGGGCAACATCGCGGCCCGGAGGCCGGGCCAGAGAGGGATCACGAAGACGGGAATATGTTTGCTTCCTTCACCGCTGTGGCTGGGTATCGACGGATTGGTCATCCTGGCTACCACAAAGTCCGCTGATGTATTGGGCATTGTGATTTCTGAGAGAGAGTATCAGTTATTGATGGTTGAGTGCGCGAGAATGACCAGGCAGATGGAAAGGAGTTTGAGGGAAGAAAGCGAACAGGTGAGATTGCTACTTACTGAGACTGCTGGCGACACAACTTTTGTGGCGTTGCAATTGGTGTCTTGCTGAAACCGAAAGATTGGTGCTTGCTGAAAATGATGTAGAGCTGGGTTTGGAAGGTGGAGGGAAAAGAAGAGTCCGGGACTTTGACCTGAAGGGTAGTTGGTCCCTCAAAGCCAGGCTCTTTCTGGAATTCTGGTGACCGAGAGGACGAAGACCAGTACCGACGCAGAGATTCCAAGACTTCACAGCCGGGAATTTTCAACGCGAGGATTCCTCAGGCAAGAAATATTCCTCTTCTGATTTGGAAAGGAAGGAACGATCCGGTTGTCCAAGCCGCTACCTGCAAGATATCTCCCAGACTTTCAGCTCTACCTTCACCCCCACTCTCACCACCACCACCACCACTCCGACTCTCACCTTCGATTCTCACCTTCGAACACATTTTGATTTCCACCCGAGACCTCTCTCCAAACTCATTCTCCCCTTCACTTTACCAATCACTTCGAGCCGCTATCGGTTTTCTTTGTTGCGTTCATCACCACTTCCATCCTGGGCCTGCCACTGAATTTCACCTGTCGTACCTCCTCTTCGCGCTTGCCATCGCCTCCGTACCGCCAGTCTTCCACGGCAAACACAGCCATGCGTCGTACGGAGCCCGCTTGGCACTGGATGAAGTCGCTCATGGAGCAAGAGGGCGCTTTCGACATGGATCCTCGCGGGGATCTCTGCCTGCTGGTCACCCCCGAAGATGGCAACGACGATGGCCTGGACCGCGACCATGACGATGACGATGCTGCCTCCGTCAAAAGTGACCCGAGCGACACTTCCAAGAATGGCCAGCGGTTTGTTGTCTGCTCCCGAGCCTTGTCGCGTGCTTCGCCCGTCTTTTGCAAGATGCTGTACGGACACTTTGCCGAGGCCGACAGCAGTCGCAGCAAGGCCGTCAACCTCAACGACGCCATCGAGCCGATGTTCTTGGCCCTCTTGATCATTCATGGCCGCTTCGACATCGTTCCCGCACGCCTTACAGTCGAGGAGCTTTTCGAATTGTTGGTTATTACCAACAAATATCAAATGACCGGCATCGCACGCCCTTGGCTCCATAAGTGGGTACCTTACTTGAAGGCCATCCCATGCAGCCCTCACAAGGACCTCTTGGCCTGGATCGCGTGGGAACTCGGTGCCGAGCAGATGTTCGGCCACGTTGCCAAAGCAATCGCTCGGGAATGTCGCGTCAACGAGGACGGCGAGGTCCTGGACACAGATGGCGAGCTCATGAGACTCAACATCTACCTTGACGCAGCTGGCATCCTAGGTGAGCTACTGACTCCAGCCCCGTGCTCCCAGAACTGCTGACTGACCATGGTACCAGATGGCATTGCTCGAGCCAGAAAAGACGCCGTGTCTTCGCTCTTTTCGCCTCTTCGGCTGTACACCCAAGAAATTCTCAACGGCAAAGGGTGCACTGGTGGATGGCTCCAGAACATGAAATGCAACAACACGGTACTTGGATCCGTGATGATGGCTTGCAAAACAGCCGGAATCGACCCTGCCCCTCTGATTGCCGGATGCAACCCTGTCTACCTCGGTAGTGTAGCAGACCTGTACAATAAGATACAGTTGATGATGGTCGAAAACTGGGATGGTCACGATTGCAATCCGATTGAGCAAGCCAAGGTCTTGGCCATGAACATTATCAGCATTGAAGACATGCCCTCGCCGGTGACGCAGCCCCAGAGAGAGCATATGAAGAAGCAGAAGTCAATTTCAGGATGGAACCGCCAGTGCAACTGAGAGAGAATGTCAAGGGCGAACTTTGGGAACACTACAACGAGGATGAGCAATGACAGATAAGAGCCACGAGGATGATGCCGCCGGGGATCTCGAGGGGTACTACAATGGTTTATTAGCAGAAGGTTGGGCAGAAATGACAGCGGGAGGAGACAACTTTGCAGGAAACACAATGTACGAGTAATACCACGAACGTCTTCACCTCAACTCGGCCTTGCCTCAGTGATTACTCAAAACAATCCGTGAAATTCGTATGCTATATTTATGCAGCGTCTTCCGGCATTACTTCGCTCATGTCAAGCCACTCCATGGTAAACGCCGTCACAATTCTCGTCCAATCCCTTACTGTGGGCATGTCTAGGTGCTCACCATCGTCCTCCGGCCTGTGCCACACGTTGGGGAATGGCGACGGGATCATGTGAAGAATATTGACGCCCTTCGCCATGAAGGGAACGTGATCATCACCAATACCGCTGCGTCCAAATCGCGCGGGGTCCTTTTCGGCGTCATTCAAGAAAGGAATGGCGGGCTTGGTCTCCAGGATGCCGAGGTCGCGCATGCGCTTCTCCAGCTTGGCCATGCTCTTGTACGCCCAGTGAGTCGTCTGGAAGTATGACGGGACCTGCGGGTTCGCTGAGCCCAGGAGGTCGAGTAAAACGAAGATGCTGATCTGCTCGAGGGGGTTCTTGTAATGAGACATGGCTGGGTTGTATGTTTTCTCCCACTCATCTGCCAATGACCTACTTCATGTCAGCTCATAACCTTTCATCCAGAGACCTCCTGAACTCACCTCGCACCATACAACGAGTCGGTATCTGTCCACGCTTTGAACGCCTCCTCGCCGTCCAACAATAGAATCTGCAGTCCCATGTCCTGGGGCACCGTCCCGCCATTCTCACCAAGCGCCACCATCTCATCGTACATCTGAGTCAGGTACGGATCAACCGCCTTCGCAATGTGCATCAGCATCGCACACGGCGCCGCGCTGTCCGTCGCGCCAATGAAGCCCTCGGGCTCGATCTTGCTGTCATAGTGAGCCACGAGGGTGAACCAATTGGCCTGTCCGAGCTTGTTCCACGGCGGCTCACGGCGGAAGATGAGATTCTGAAAGGGGATCTGCTTGTCTCCCGTGGCGGGGGTCGTGCCGGTCGAGTTCTGCCACTCAATCGACCACTTAGGCAGCTCCTTTCTCCAGAAGTTGACAAAGTGCTCCTGGGTCTTGACCTGGCCGGGCGTGCCCGGGACACGCGGAATGAGGATGGGGGCGAGCAGCGGGCCGTTGTGGATGTCAAAGTCGGCCTCGTTGATTGTGATATTGCGCAGCGCGGTGTCCGACAGGTTCATGTAGGCGCGGACGGAGGCGGCGAAAAGGAGGTGCAGCAAGGCTGACAGCCAGAGATGGCCGCCTCCTCTCACCAAAGGGAGGCCGGCCATGGCGGGCTGTGATGGGGACAGCAGACGCGATGGGATCCTCCTCGGGTTCTCATGAACTCATGCTGCGCCCTTCGATGAACAGGAAAGTAAGCCGATGTGTGCGCAGGCGTGCGGGATTGGTGGTTCGGTTGATTGATGAGTCGGTGACGGAAGTCCGACGATTTGGGTGAGAGTCGTGGCGATGGGTTTTGAGATTCCGAAGAGGTGTCAACTTTTGGACGTTCCCCCGACCGAGGAAGGGATGGCCCAAAGAGGTTAGAGCGAAACTCTCCTGCAACGCACCTCCAAAGGACCCCTGGCTGGTGTTTTAAAGCAGTGGGTCTGAGCTGATTAGTAAGGTGTTTTGCAGGCAGGGACCTGTTCCTCGGCCGTTCGGCGCACCTCCACCTGCCTCCTGTCGCCTCCACATCGGCCCGTCGCGCACGTGCCTTCGCGAGCGCGTTTCCTGTCCAGCTGTCGCGATCAGGTCCGAAGCATTTGGCAGCTGTCAGCGAGGTGGTTTTCCGTCTGTTTTCATGTCATCATGCCAAGAATACGTAGGTAGACCCAAGATCGCAACGGCAATGGCGCAGCATCGTATCTTGAGCGCGAACTAGCAATAGTGCGTCCTTCGAGCCTGCCACACAGGAACGCGAACATCCCGAATCCCTCGCTAGCCTCTGACAATGGAAGTCGGCACGTGTGGAAGTTTATCTGGATCCAAGGGGCTAAGGCCAAACGCTCCTTGACTCCTGTCAAAGGGAGCAAGATCTTCATGTCGACGCAGGGAGTCATGACAAACAAGCTAATCCAGTATCGTAGGTGTCATATGCCATCAATTATACATCAAACCTTCCAAAGCATTCCGTCGTTCTTTCTCATCGTGATCAACCTCAATCCCGAAATCTCCCAAAAAGTGGCCATGGACGTCTCCATTAACCTCAAGCACCGCCGCCCGCCGGCTTCATGAACAAGCGTTCCCTCTTGCAGAGCAAGCTGCTCACAAGAACCACCGCGCCAGCGACAATCACCAAGATGTACGGCAAGTTCAGAGCTTCGACGATAGCATCCAGAATCTCAGCCTGCATGTCCGGAGGCAATGTCTGCACAAAGTCTCCTCCGACGCCAGCAATGGCAAGCTGGATTTGCTCCTCCGGAACAGTATCCGGAAGAATCTCCGTCAGCCGCTTCTCCGCCCTGTTCAGGAACACAGCATTGCCGACCGCCAGGGCAATGTTGATACCGCTCGTCTGGGCTAGTGCCATCATTGACGACGCCACGGCCGCCATGTCCTCCGGCACGCTGGCTTGCGCGATGGAAAAGCCCGCCTGGGTGAAAGTTCCGACACCGGCTCCGAGCATGGCCGAGGCTCCGTATACCCAGGCCGTGCTTGTACTCGGCTCGACGACGTACATCAGCGACGACGCAGCGACGACAATCGCTCCGCCAACCGTGAACCAGGGGAAGTACAGTCCACCAGATGGATGCGACAGCACGCCGCCCTGGAGAAGCGTGACGAACACCGCAAGAATGATGAAGGGAAGCAGACGCACAGCAGCGTCAATCGCGCTGTCGCCGCGCGTGAACTGGAAGAAGACTGGGATGAAGTACACCGGCACGAAGATGGCACATCCGCCGGAGGCGGTGATGCAGAACATGAGGATAATGGTGCGGTAGTACTTCCTTGACACGATCAGCTCGACGGGAAAGAGGCGACGCTCCTTGGTGGTACCGATGCAGTATGCTTGCTGGAGGCCAAAGACGATGAAGAGCACGCCAGCGACGACGAACAGGGCGATCTCCTGGCCGGAGTTCCAATCGTACATGACGCCACCGAAGCTGATGCCCATGGTGAAGCAGATGATGGCGCCGAGCATGAGAGGAGCACCAACCCAGTCGATCTCCCTGAGACGTTGCCACAGAGAAGCGCCAGGCTGGGGATCGGGAGAGGGAAGCATCCAGAGGTACACCGGTGCGGCGAGACCTCCGATGGGAAGGTTGATGTAGAAAGCCCAGCTGCCCTTGCGTTAGTAGGTGAAGCTTATCATGAAGCAGGAGACTTACCGCCATGTCGCCCCCGAGTCGGCAAATGCACCACCAACAACAGGTCCCAAGACAGTTCCCAAACCCCAAGTCAACCCAATGGACGCAAGATACGCAGGCCGCTCTTGGATCGTCGTCGTAGCAGCGATCAGCGTCATCACCCCGAGATACATGCCCACACCCCCAAGGCCGCACAACGCACGCCCAACAATGAGAGCATTCATTGTTGGCGCCGCACCACACACCGCGCTGCCCACCTCGAACACGACGACACTCCCGATGTACAGCCACTTAGGCTTAAGGTGCGAGTATAGCTGCCCGAAGAGCAAGTTCGTCGAAGTGGCAGCCATGATGAAAGCGACGGCCAGCCACGCAATGTCCGTGATGGCATCGAACTGCAGCACGATTTGCGGCTGCACGTCTGCGACGACGGTGTTATCAAGCGCGAAGAGGAAGGTCGAGGAGAGAATGGCAAAGACGACGATGATCCAGCGGATGCCGGTCACGGTGCGGACAGGCTCCGAGGTTGTCTCCTTTGCGGCGCCGCGCTCTGTGTCGGTGTTGTCCCCTGAGACGGGTCCCTTGGTGGAGGCATTGTCAGCCTCTGCCTTCTCCAAGGGGCCTCCTGTGGGTGGAGTGCCTGGCTGCTTCTCGGTTTCGACGGCCATGATGTCGGTATAGAACGGAGAGGGTACAGAACGAGGGCCTCAGGAGCTTGGCTTGTCGTTCAGCTGGATGGAAGTGAACCGGGAGTCTGGGACTCGGCACGCCCATATATCACCTCCCTCGCCCACCATGAGACCATCAGACAAGCTGTCAGCCCAATCTCACGGCCTCGGAATGGGATCATCAGTGTCGTAAGCTGCATATTGTTCTTGGCTCGTCCACCAGGTCGTCCCCCGTCATAGCATCAAGTCAGCGTCGAAGGCGCGCCCAACTTGCCAACTGGGCCCGAACAGCCTCGTCGTTTCCGACCCATTGACGGCAGGCGACGTCTCTGGAACTTACGCGGTTGCCTCTTTCAGGAAAGCAAGCCCCGAAGAACACTTTTCAGGCCATGAAGGCTGCGTGGAGATAAGATCAAAGAATGCCCATCCCATTCGCATATCCGCTCTCAAAGACTGCCTGCCAAAGAGCCCCTGCCTACCGGGTACCTCACACCGCAAAGATACGAGAGCTGCATGAACCCATCCCACCACTTCAGCCAAATCCAAATCATATCCCTAACCCGTCGCATTCGGCCCAACCACCCACCCGGTTGGCCGCCTTCTCTCAGAAACCCTTGACCCGAATTTGCGAAAAGGACCACCTTCAAAACCTAACGCTGACGTCTTGCATCTCAGAAGCACCACAAATGGTGACTCCCAATCCGCACGCACCAACCAGACGCCTCACAAACAGCCTTACGGAGACTCCCTCCCGGGACGCGATATCGTAGTCCAATCGTGGCCGTTGAGGCTGAGATAAGCTCGAGCAAACGTGGACAGCACACCGACGCCATAGCTTTGTACCGAACCTCTATCACCGGCACCCTCGGAGTTTGCCATGAGCTGCGGGAATTTGATGGCGTATTCTTGTCCAATCCTCTCTATTGCTATCGTCCATCGTGCCCTTTTGCGTTACGCCAAGACCACATCCGAAGCGCCAGCGGCCGTCCGTCAGCAAGCGCATCAAATAATATGCTCACCAGCGGTCAATATTGCAGCACGTTGATCCCCCCCCCAATCAGCCGCCGCGTAAGTCTAGACCGAAACGGGATGCACGTAATATCAGACCAATCGTAGACTCGCATTCTTGCCCTCTGAATGCGTGACGCTGTAACCTGCAATTGTTTCTTTCGACCGCGAACACATGACATGCGCGTGGTGCTGACCCGGAACAGCGGTCATTGGCTCTTCACAGCTAACGGCTGTCGGGCTTGTGTGACATAATTCACCTAGGATGGTGCTGACATAGGCTACTGCAAATCAGCCTGTCGTCAAGAAGCGAATGCTTATTTGCTGGGCCGTTATGGTCAGTAAGAACATCATTCGATGATTCAATGCGTGCGCCTTACGCTTTTCAAACAGCGAAGTAGTGTTTGAAGAATGCCAAGGCCATGATCACTTCACCATGACTTTCAGCCACGTAGCTAAAGCAAAACTCAAAATTTTCAGTACTATGGACTATCTTCTGCCCAAAATCCTGCGTGTTGCAATGATCCATCTCGCGATATGGCCATCTATGTGGCGGTACATCCTTCGCTAAAAAATCCTCCCTGTTCCTCAAATGCAAGCAAATATCAACGTCTTATGCGACGTCTCGTAAGCAAATTCCGTAAGTTGAAGAAAACCGGCCTCCTCTTTAAGCATCATCCTCCGTCTTGAAGATCACCGAGACATTCTGAGCACCAACTTGCTTTCCATCGTGAAGAACGGCGAAGTCGACGCTGTTTCCAGAGCAAGTCATCTCGACACTAAACTCCAGCCGGCCAAGCATCTTGCCTGTGGGGCTTGTGTAGCGCCTCAGAGACTTGAAGTCGATCTTCTTGGACCAGGTGATGGTGCAAAGCTCTTGGACATCCTGTGTGCAGGTCTTGGGAGCAGGCCACGCAGATGTGGCATAGATAGTCTCTGAGACTTTCTTCGGAGTCGACTCTAGGAGGCGGTAATACTCCTTACGAACCGGATCAGCAGTTGAAACGTCAGTGCCCTGCAAGTGAGAGTCAGTAAAATGTTTCCCTGCCAGCATGATCTAAAGCCGTACCTGCTCAAGGAACCACTCCATCTGGTTTCGCACCATCCACTGGTGCTCACTGGTGCACCAGTACTTGTCCTTGGGGTCGTGAGTAGAAAAGTCGAAAGGCATACAGTATGTGACACCGTAGCTTCTGCGAGAGATTCTTGAAGTAATTCCAACTGAAAGACCGGGGGCAAGATTGCGAGCGGTCAAGCCGCTGATGACTGCACCACGGCTGATGGCGCTCCAACTGTTTTGTGTTAGCAAAGAAAGGTATTGTGGGTTATTTTTCCTTACGGCTTGTTGCCCGATCCTTGAAGAATCTCAATTCCCTTGCCGATGATAGCCTGAAGACGCGTCCGAAGGTAAACGCATCGACCAAAGCCTCCGACCAAGATGACTTTCTGCAGTTTATGTTAACAGCCAGCCTTCAGCAAGTTTGGGAGCAACCCATACCTTGGGCTTCTTATCTGTCTTTTTCAGGACAGCGGCAATCTGCTTCTGGACAAGCTCCGCAGTCTGATCGATGACAGGGTCGAAGACGGTAAGAAGGTCATCGCGGTCGAGAACCAGGTTCTTCTTGCGCTTTAGAGGTACCCGGAGCGCGGCACTCAGCAGGCAGACCAAAAGAGAAGTCATCATTCTGGCCATAGAAACCTGTCTTGATTCCGTTCTCCCAATCATCGTTGAGAAGCTTCTTGGACTCGTTCTTAGGCACATTGGCCCACGCTTCAGGGGTGACCTTTCTCTTGATAAGCTCAATGAATGCATCATCAAGGAAGACACCGCCACAAAGATCGCCATCGCCTTCGACTGCCTCTCGAACCACGAAGGGATCCATACTGAGGATCTCATAGCTGATGAGGTCAACGGTACCGCCTCCAGCATCGCACACAATGATGTGATCACCGACCTAAGAGCTAATGTTAGATAGGAATACCAATAATATCAGAGGATCTCTCACAAAGATGTTTGGTCGTTTACTCAAGTCCCGAATGGTAGCAAGAGCAGCAGCTTCAGGCTCAGAGATGAAGAACAAAGTTGTGTCTCCAGCAGGGCGCTCCTTCAAGATGCCAGCGCTGTCAACAGCCCTCCGCATGCGCGCCTTGGCATAGTCGGGCCAAATAGCTGGAAGCGTGATGACGACTTGGAAGCGGCACATATCCACAAGATCCTGGCCAGCCGAGGTGATGATGCATTCGATTGCATGGTTCCAGAAGCGGGTGAGGTACGCGCTGATGACCTCAACCGGGTCCTTATTCTCCTCACCTACCATCTTACGAGCTGCGGAAATCTGCGAAGAGTTCTTAACCTTCTTGGGAAGGTCCTTCTCGTCCACCAGCAACAACTTGAACCATCTCATAGGCTCTTGCTTTGCGTTGGGAGGAATGCCATAGCCCCAGGAGATGTTTCCCCGCTTGCCGGGAAAGAGAATAGCAGACGGCGCTTTCTCTTTATCGGAGTTGAGGTTCAGCTTAGATTCCCATCGACTGATTACCTCAATGTCGTTAGGCTCGCCCGAGTAAGCCCAGCTCGCACCTGAGAAAGTGCGTCAAGTGTCAGCTTGGGAATTGAGAATGAGATCTTGCTGTAAACTCACGTGGTGCCGAAGTCGATTCCGACGATAATGACATGCTCTTCATCATCTGACTTGTTGGCCATTTTGGCAAGGGTGCTAAGTAATGAAATTGCAGTCAGCTAAAAGCGCGAGAAGATGGTATGCAAAGTTTGATATATGAGATCACTTCGGGGTAATGAAGAAGTCGAAGGGTAGGAACAGGCAGCTCAAACCAGAATTTGGAAAGCAAAGCGTGGAATGAATGGGCTTGAAGAAAGGAAGTGAGGCTGTACTGAATTTGTAGACTTACCTGAGGCTGTTCTTATTTGAAGTCTTGAGGTGATGGAGATAATTGTGAAAGACTTTGGATGTTGTTGTGAGGATGGAAGAGTTGAAGTCAAGTGAAAACAAGAAGCAGGCTTGAATAACCAAAAGTGGAGAAAGATCAGTTGAGATTGCTAAATGTTGAGGCAGGAGCGGCTATGAATCTGAAATAAAGTCGATATGTGAAGACAGAAGACGTTCCTGCCTTTTCTGTGATTTAGCAAGTGAGTATGGCCTGAAATCTCAGTAGGTCCACCCCATCGTCAAGCTTTCTTAGGTAGAAACGGAAAGAGCCACAGGAGCAAACTTCTAGATTTGGCTACTTACGTGGTGCCCCGCACTTTTCAAGATAAATACCTTTCTTCTGCTCCCCTTCTCAATCTCTTTTCTTTCCTTCTGCCAACCTAACCTACCATCTTTCACAAACCCAACCCAACTCATACCTAGCGCTTGGGTGATACAGAGACACCATGGATTCAAAGGTGAAGAAGGTAAGATTCAACATGGCTGTCGTTTGAAATCTGGATGTAAACTATTTACTCATCATCTCATTTTAGGAAGAGCAAAGCTCGACTTCTTCTCTTGCCGAAATTCCATCTGTCACTCCCGAGGAGCATGCGCGAGCAAAGAGCCTTCCAGCTCCTGCCACGGAGCGTTCCGCAACCGTCATGGCCGACAACCCTTCCACGCATCAGCAATCCCATTCGCAACATTCCTTCGGCACGAAGAATCTCTCCGAAGTCATAAAAAAGAAGAACAAGACGATGAACAGACAGTGGAGAAAGATCAAGAAGCTCGAGAAGGAGCTTGAGAAGTGCAACAAGCCGCGCCCAGTGCAGCAAGACGCGAATGTCATTCTTCTTCGAGCGGAGGTTGAAAAGCTTAACAGAGAGTTGCTCCTGAAGGAGGAAAAGTACACAAGCAGGCAGGAGTACGTCGTCTCGTATCTTGAGAAATCGATAAGCAATTATCGTGAACAACTCCACCAGGCCGAAGAAAAGGACCTTCAACAAACGCAGACAGTTCAGCATCTCCAGGATCAGATCTTTCAGCTGGAAGAAGGCTATCAAGGAGCGATGCAAAAGCTTCAAGCAGACATTTCAACTCTCCAGAACAACAACAAGAAGCTCACATCTCAGCTCATGGACAAGAAGGCATCCATCGCAAAGGCAAAGTCACTTGGAAAGGCAGGCAAGGTCTCGGACGATGCGATCTTGAGTCTTTGGAAGAAGATGAAATATAGCATCCATAACCTAGCCTCCACGATCCTTACGGAATGTCCTTCATGGGAAGAGATCGAAGCCAACATCAAAGCCCCAGGTTGCTTGCTCAGCATCGTGAGTAAACGTATTTATGGCTTTCTCCAAGACGAGGACACGAGATCCAGCGTTGTCGAGCTGCTCATCTGGGACATGCTCCTGCGAGAAGTCTTCAAGCCATTCTCTCAGACGCTCTCAGGCGTATGCTGGGGCGGTTTAGAGGGTGAATGCTTTTCTACTATGGTGGAGGGCATGGCAGGTAAGATGACCACAGCTAAAATATCGCCCATGCTATCAACTTGTGGCTAACTTTTTCCAATCCAGGCAATGCCTTGAAGAAGGATGCAGAAGCTAAATCATTCTTCCATTGGAAAGCTGAAGGCGGCAGAATGATTGGAGATATGATCGGAGTCGACAAAGAGAAGCTTAAGCAGGTTGCCGACGATCATGCTGCGATCTTCTACCTGTTTGTGTCTCCAAACGGAGTTCGCAACAACAACGGTATGGACAGGCTCTTCAAGAACCTTTGCAAGATCATCGAAGATGCACTGGTTCTTCATGGCATCTTCATGGCATCGAAGGCACATTTCATGCTAGACCGGCCCCATGCTCCGAGTCGTGGGCGCCTCACCCGTTATGACGCTGACTGGATGGAAGCTGATTCCTGGGTGAAGGAACCTTTGGACCACAGGAGCTCCCTGAAGTTCCCCATTTCTCCGGGTCTCGTCAAGTACGGCACAGCGGATGGAGAACACTACGATCAGCAACTTCGATTGGTCAAGGCTCGTGTTGCTTGCCACTGAGAAATACTGGCTTGCAATTTCTTTTCTTTCTTCAACATCCATTTGGAAGGATGTTCATTTGCTGCAAGGTTGCATATCATCCCATCACGATTGGGAATAATTTTTCAGGGAAGTGCAACGAGACAGCAACATAGCACTTGGCATCAGATAGCATCTTAGACAATTGCAACTCACATATTCTTACATGCTGTGCTGCATCTCGAAATAACCCAGGGGAAAGTTCATGATGATGCGTTGAACTTATTGCGAGGTGGCTGGATACAAACCTTGCATGCTCATGTCGGGACCTTTTGGACTCTGGGGCAAACGCATTAGAAAAGGTAGGTATGCAGACATCCTTTCAGGTCGTCGATGTCTGAAACTTGAGAGGCTATCAAGGTCGCCGCTTTTTTGTTCACCATCTTGGTCTTGTCCGTCTCCGAAAGTATTGCCACCACAACCGTATGACTACCGCCTCGCACTTGAAAAATACCACCAGCGAAGATCTTCCAAAATCGCTTCCAAACCCACCCGTCTCGCATAATTCTCACTTCCCGCCTGTCACGCCTACCGCCCATCATGAACACAACCACCATCGACCCCTCCTCCCCCTCCTCCCCTTCCACGGAGCTTCTCAAGCAATACCTCTCCCTCACCACCAACCTCTCGTCCTCCTCCACAACCCTCCCACACGAACACCAAACCGATGACACCCCCAACACCGCCGACGCCGCAGAAATAGGCGAAGGCTGCTGCGCCATAATCTACGCTCTCTCCCCCTCCGCCATCGCCAAAGTCGCGAAACCCAACAAGCAAAACGAGCTCTGGAACGATTTCGGCGCGCACCTATCCATCTACAAGGCCATCTCCGCCGTACCCACCGCCACACTCGTGCCGAAGCCCGCGTACTACCTCCACGCACAAGACGTAACCATCTGGCGCGCCGCGCAGGCCAAGAAGATACCGAGCCGTGAGCCGAACGACGTCCTCTGCGCCGAGCGCATCCCGCCCCTGCCGCGGGTAATTCGCAGATCCCTTGTCGACGTATTCTGCCCGAAAGAACAAATGGCGGAGGCGCTCGAGAACAAGAAGAATGACGCCTGTCTGGTGAGGTTGTACCTCGGGCGCAGGCGGCCGAGCAGCCTCCACACACAGGGTACGTTTTCCCTGCGGAATTTTGAGCTCACGCTCGACAAGATGGAGCTACTCGACCTCGACGCGATACAGTTCGTCGCGCCTATGGCGGAGGCCTTGGCGGTGGTGCACTGGAAAGCGAGGAGCGATGGGCGCGATATCGAGTTCGTGCTTGGCGGGCCGCCAGAGCGGAGGATATCTGCCGAGGGTTTTAGAGTGCTTGACGGCAATGTTAACACGCAGAGGGTCACGACGTGGAGGAAGGCAGGGACGATGGACGGGGTAGCGGGCTTGCAGCAGAGCACCGTTTGCGTCTGGTTGTTGGATTTTAACCAGTGTTCTAGGATCCAGGCGGATGCGCAAGGGGTTCAGATGGCGGCGGACGCGTATTGGGACAATGACCCGTATTGTCCACGGCCCACAAAGGACGGCGACAATGATAGCACCGAGGGAAAGATCTGGGGGGAATTCAAGAGGGTGTATTTGGCAAAGGGTAGGGCGATACTTGGAGAGGGCGCTACGCAGCCGGTGGACTTCATTGACTCTCTTGAAGCCAGAGGACAAGAGAGACAGCAGGGCTTGGTCATGGCTGGGCCCCCCAAGGCAGCAAGCACTGGGCCAGGGAGTAACTCCAAGAAAAAGAAAGGCAGGGAGTATGTTGGTTTCTGGTCGGAATCAATCGCCGCACGACAACACAGGAAGATGGCCCGAGAAAGGACACCAGGACCCGGCATCACGAGCAGACGGTGACAAACATCGACGTTGGTGGTCAAACCAAGCACCGTCCGACCCCGGATTCCCACTCCCGACCCCCCACGCCGAGTCGGTGCCGGCCGACGATGTCCCACTGCGATGATAGGACCAGACCCCGGTCTCGCGCCATCGAAACGGCGCTTATCTCCGCTCGCGGCGTGCCCTGGCTCCCCCATCTTACTTACCCCAGCGATTGTTCGCCTGTAGATCCATCGCGGATGGTCCCCTCACCAAGCGCGTCATAGAGTAGCCTGGCAATTGCCGAAAAATATCGTGGAAAATTTCTCTTCCCTCGTGCCAAAGACTGCACCCGAGACATGTGTTCGCGAAAAGATTGAGAGCTTCCTCTGGTTTGCAATATTGGACTTGACCGTTGCCCGCCCAGACTCTCGAGATCGCGCAGGGCAATGACTTCGTCACCTGCTCTAATCAATTAGCCTCCCCAACGGACTTCCGCGCGAGCGCTAACAAGCGGGAATTTCTCTCAAAGGTAACGGCCTTTGGATGCATACCCATTTGCGAAGGTTTTCATCACAAAAGAGTATTTGAAGCGGCCCTCAAAGGATTCGTTCTGCCGCCGTTCTACGGCGCAAGAGGCAAGATGTTGGAGAAGCGAGACTCTGCTGATGGCGGAGGTGGTGACACGGACAGGGACATGGTTGTGGCGTCCGCCACTGCGGCAGCACCCGCCAAGGAAGCTTTCAGCCCGCAGGGTTCAGCCCTGAACTCTCCCCGGGATGGCTTCGCAGACGAGAAGACGGAGAGGATACCAGACGGCGACATTGGGACGACGTTGCCGTCGTCGAGTTCGGACTGTGGTTCTCAGAGGGTTGGAGATGAGAAGGGACGGGA